AGTGTTGTCCGGTAAAAGACCCCTCGCTGATTGAAGTGTTGTCCTGTAAAGACTAAAGACCTTCCCCGATAAAGTGTTATCCGATAAGCCCCTCATCCATCAAGTGTTATCCGGTAAAGACCCTTCACTGATCAAATTGTTGTCCGGATAGGACCTGTCACCGATCAAAGTATTGTCCGGATATGACAATGTTGTCCAGATGGGACCTGTCACCGATCAAAGTGTTGTCCGGATAGGACAATGTTGTCCAGATAGGACCTGTCACCGATCAAAGTGTTATCCAGATAGAACCTTCACCGATGAAAGTGTTGTTTGATAAAACCCTCACAAATAAAGTATTATCCAGATTGGCCCTCATCACTTTTAGTAATGTCCACAATAGATGAATTTGCGGTGTAACCGCGATAGATGAAACGGTGGTGTAACATCGATAGATGGAGGTTTATTTATCATTAAGAATCAGGTTTGAATTGTATTAGATTTATTATAACATATTATATTGCATGAGGGAGATTTACTCACTAGATCCTTTAGTCTAACCCTCAATTGTTATAATAATTTCTTTTACAGGTCATCAGACATCATAGGATAAAGGTAAATGGAAGATGTAAAAGAAATTTTGGAATATAGTCTTGTTATGACAAAGTTTTTTTTGCTAACCCATACTATTAGTTTGTCATAGGTAAAGAATCTTGAAATGTTTGTAATTTTGTTACCTGATGTATGTTGACGTATGAGTTATGTTTGTTAGTACTATTTAGTACATGGTGGGTTGTTTCATTCATAAGCTACTCATATATGACAACCATTCATTAGTTCACACCATTCATAAGTTATACATTACATATCAATAAATGAAGGAATGATTAAACCTTGATGTCGATTTCAAAACGATGGAGTAATTACCGGAAAAGTAATTAATGCTGAAAGAAATCTCCCTATTTTGTTTTCCAAAATTACTCTTTGTTCATTATTGTTCACCTATGTTTATTAAGCATCATTTTTTAATTTGTTACAAAAAAAGTCATAGCTTATAGTGTCCTGAAAGCATATTCTTCAATATTGAAAACCCGACAATTGGACCAAAGAATGCGATTGCATCGCAATTGAACAGTCCCGAGCCGAAATATCAAATGTATAGCCTCGTCCTGGTCGTTTTCACTTGAGGTTCAAAGATACTTTGATATTGCCTGTTTTGCGGTTCATAGCTTCATACGAAAGTAATGTTTAAGTGATGAGTTATTTTCTGAATATGATCAAACCAATGAGCAATGGAACAATGGCGAAGATGAGGATAAGGAGTTCAATCGCATGAGTGTACGGCTGACTAAACATATATGGCTAGTTTAAGAGAAGAAATTGTGACACAATTAATGCAAAATAAATATTAATTTTAGTTATTACGAGACTTTGTTCATTTTCCTATTGTGTTTGAATCAATTAACATATTTCAGTTCAATTTTTGAAATGTGTTAAAAATAGATGATACTATAATCTAATTAAAATAAATTGACATTTTTATAAATTCAACAGTATAACATTTGAGGGATAAAATAGACAATTATACATATTTAGAAGTTTGTCAGTTTACAAAAACAATCAGTCTTATTAAATCAGATTTCAGACGTTTGTGAGTTTATAAAAATAAACAGTTTAATTGATTTAAATCTCAGACTCAAAAAATTTGTCTTACAAAAACAAACAGTCTTATTGATTCAAATTTCGAACTTCAACACCACATCTTTTCAATCAAAAGTAAAATAAAACTTCAGACTTCAACACTTTTTAAAAAACAGACTTTCACCTTCATTTCCTAAATAATATACATATCATTATATTTATGGTAACTATGAATTTATTTCTTTTAAACAGCCGATAAATTGATATATTAATTTTGTAAAATAAAAACATACACATCTTGCGTTCAAGCAAAGAGTGCGCGGTGGTGGTGGTGGTGTTCTAGAAGGAAAATGACGAAAATAGCCCTAATAAATAGAGATGATGGGGGAAATGGAGGGATTGGTGGGTGGGGTTTATCGGTCACCAAACTGCCACAGAAACACCATAACCACCCTTTCATCATTTGACACGTATCCCCCCCAAACAATCATTTTACCTTTTTCTCCACGAGTCCCATGAAATAAACCACATATGATTGGATTAAACAACTTCCCATAATACCCCTGTCTCTATTATCTTATTTCCTATATTACCATTACCATTTTATATTTTATTAATGACAAAAAACAATTAGGAACATAAATACTCTGCTTATTTTAATATGTCTAAAATTCTAAGCACCTATTGTATCATTATGCAAGTTTATGTGATTGGATTATCAAATGTTGTTTATCGAACATTTACTCGGTAAATATTTATTGGTAAAATTTAACACTATCATTTACTTGTCGAGTAAGATTTTAGTCCATCAAAACAGTATCATATACAATAATTTATCCGGTAAGCACTTACCGTGGTAAGAGTCGTGGACCTCGCTTACCGGGTAAGACTCTTGGTCTATGCATTGCTCTTACCAGATAATATTCTTGATTCTTACTATATTAATCTGATAAGGTAAAAACATAACACCTGATTTTTCTTTTTCACTTTAGCATAAAACACAATTTTTTTTATTATAACATTCAGACATCTTTAATATTTTATATTAATCAAATTAAAAGATGGTTGAATACATTTTAGGTAAAAATAAATAAGGAGCCGTTTTAAATTCACAAGCATCATATCATATGCATAATTTAAAATAACAATACAAGAAAAATATTATTCCATTTTTGCCCTTTAGCATGATATTCGAGATTAAGTTGTTTTTTTATATAAAAAAAAGCTTAATACTTACAAATATAGAGGAAGGTACAACACCTAGTTATTCACATCTAATTATAGGTTTAGTTTTGGCAAAATACAACATTTAACTATTCCGATCCCTGAAAAACAGCTACGCAAATCCACAATGGCCTTACAGGATTCGAACTAGTGACCAATGAGAAGAGTCCTCAAAAGGTCAAGTTTTATTGTCATTTGAGATAACCACCACAAAGTTTGTTCACAAATGTTAAATTAAAATAAATGAATAGTTTAGATGATTCTATTAGAGCATCTCCAACAACTATGTTACAATAAAGATTTAAGAGTTTTTTTTCTCAAACAATTATGCTAAAGTGTATACTAAAATAGAAAAAAAAGATAAAAATCTCAAAAACCTAAGATTGATGTATAAATATATATTTTGTAATTGGTTCAATCAATGAGGTTCAATGTGTTATAAATTTTTATAAATGTTAAAAATATTTATATATTAGATGAATAATATATAGAATATTATAATAACTTAATTAAGAGTAAATTGCAATTTTGGTTCTCCTAGTTTGTTGTTTTTTCTTGGTTTGGATCCCAACAATAATTTTATTACAAGAAAACCCTTGTGGTATGCAAAAGCTTTTGATTTGAGTCCTTCTCACTAACATAAGTTAAATTGCAGCGTTAACTACCCCTTGTGGCTAGCACATGAGGGTATAAGGGTCATTTCAGACCACAACCTTTCTTCTAACCTTTTGACCCTAAAACATTTATCATCTCTCTCTCTCTACAACTGCCCACACCCAACCAAAACTGTGACACCCCCCTTACGACTTTGGCACTTACACCCACACCGTCACTAGTACCCTATCGTCTCCAATGAACCCCCTCCACCACTTCCCATCTTCTCTAGCGAACCTCACCACCCACTTGCATTTCCTAAATCGTTGTTTTCTCAAGAAACCCAAACTCAAAGCCAAAAGTCGCACTGCCTCTAGCATGGGTGTGAATAATCACCACGATTCTCTTTCATCTTCCTTAGCTCCCCTCTTTCTCTCTCTCACTAACCAAAAGATGTCGCCTAAATCTATCATTCTTTTTCTTGATGTGTTTGGATTAAGGATATAACAAAGTGGTAGACCTGAATCCGTTTAGGGTTTGAACATGCCCATCCATGGTTTTGTTTAAGGTTTATTTATAGTTTAGAGTTTGATTTAGTATTTTAGTTTTTCGGGGATTTTTTTTTTTTGCTTAGCGTTAGGGATTTCACAACAATCTCATTTGATCTATGAAATGAATTTGAGTTTATATGTGCTTCTGTTTTTTCTTTGTATGTGTAAGATTTCGTGGTATGGTTATTGCTAGTTTTGTTATGGGTGGATGGTGGTGGTAGTTGTGATTATAAAGTACATTATCGTCGTATTATATTCTAGAGACAAAATGACTATTCTACCCTCGTCTGCGTATTAACGGCTGCAATTTAACTTCTATAAGCGGGAAGGACCAAAACCAAATACTTTTAATAGTTTAGGGATATAAACCGTTATTTTGTTTTTGAAACGTTGTGGTGAATCTATCCAGAGTAAAATATAAAGGGTATTTGGCCAACTGTTGGCTGGCCATCATTTTATATTCAGCTTCCATCTCTCTCTCTCTCTCTCTACCTGCAGGTCTTCTCCCAAATAATGGAGAGAGAGAACTAGAACCTTCAAAAGCCCCATTTCAATCATTTGCTTTCCCCTTGTGTTTCTTAATTCATTTTTTCAGTGGGTTTCTTGAGGCGAATCGGAGAAATAGATATTGCAAGGTTAAGTGTTTTTGGCAGCTTCAAATTGGATTTCGGCTGCCATTTTTGGTTTCTGATTTGTAATCTATATTTTCCACAAAATCCCAACTCAATCTCTTTGTCAATTTTGGCCAAAACACACTTTATCCACAATATTCTTGATTTCCCGACGATTACTCACCGGCGGGAAACTCCGGCGTTACTTTCTTGTGATTTTTGTCCCTGAAAACAGTGGCTAATTGCCTCTCTCTGGAAAACGCGTTGACTCTGTCGATTGAACTCCTGTGGTGCCCGCTTTCAGAGTAATTTTGATCCGTGTCATTTCGCCTGCTAGTATCTGAATCTGAATTTTATATATAGTAAGAAGTCAGATTAGCCAAGATAGAGTATATCAAAGATGATGCGTATGAGGACCCGAGCAACAGAGCTGACTTCCATGGACAGGAGTTCAGTCCCCGGTGACAATGAATGGGAGGTCCGGCCAGGAGGAATGTTGGTTCAGAAGAGAGACCCAGATGCAGAAATCGACCGTATTCCTCCACCAACCATTAGAGTTCGGGTCAAATACGGGTCGATTTACCATGAAATCAACATCAACTCTCAAGCCACATTTGGTAAACAACCAAGTCCTTATTGTGTATATCTGAATGCTTAAACTTTAAATTATGATTTTTGTGGGTCTTTTACAGGGGAGTTGAAGAAGATGTTATCTGGGCCAACAGGATTACACCATGAAGATCAGAAACTCATGTACAAAGATAAAGTAAGGGATTCCAAATCATATCTTGATGTGGTGGGTGTCAAAGATCGATCAAAAATGGTGGTGGTGGAAGATCCAATTAGCCAAGAGAAAAGGCATCTGGAGATGAGAAAGAATGCAAAGATGGAGAAAGCTGCTAAATCCATCTCAGACATTAGCTTAGAGGTCGATAGGCTTGCTGGTCAGGTAACTTGAATTTCAGAATTCCATAAAGAATCAAAATAAAGATTATCCAATTCGATGATAATGAACTTGGATCGAATAGGTGTCAGCGATTGAATCGGTTATCTCTAAAGGAGGGAAAGTGGCAGAGAAGACTCTGTTGAATCTGACCGAATTATTGATGAATCAACTGCTTAAACTAGATGGAATTACAGTCGATGGTGATGTAAAATTGCAGAGGAAAATGCAGGTAATTTTCTTCTTAATTCTTGGTCGAAAATTTATATTTTGAGCTCTTGATTTCATAGGATTATTTGCAGGTGAAAAGGGTTCAGGAGTATGTTGAAACTCTGGATGTTTTGAAGCTTAAAAACTCAACTGCAAGCCACACTGGGAATCATGTTCAAGAACACAAAGATCCAACTCAACCTCAATCAAGGCGGACAATTGGGAATTCTTCATCTACACCGGTGGTGGATCAACATCAACCAGCAGTTATGGTAACAACACAATGGGAGATTTTTGATTCATTGGCTGCTCCAACATCAACAGCAACCATCCACAATACAGTCAATCCCACATTTAATTGGGATTTGATCTAAACTAATAAAAAAGAACTTGCATATGTGTTGTATTGTGTGAAATGTGTGCTTCTTTAATTTTTCCAGGTTGGTTTGGCATTTATACTCCATTCTTTTCTGTACCTAGAGATTCTTGTTGGCATCTTCTCTTTTTATGCCAACATTATTATTGCTTTGGTATCTTGATGAATATATGACAATTGTCACATACCTGTAAAGGAATAGTTTCCATAGATCTGATTAAACAATCAAAATCTAGGTCTGAAAATTAAACAGTTTGTTGGTTTCCATTTGAACCATAAAAGTCGACAATATATGAAGTCTTGAGCGCAAACTACGATAGGGTTTCTACTCAACTTAAATTAAGAACCTGAACTATATATAATCCAGCATCAGGTTACAAACAGGTCTTGATTTATGTACTAATCTTGACCAAATGGATTCCAGAATTGGTCTTGAAGGGTTATATCGTCTTCAACGGGCTCAGGCCTGGACTCCAGCATGAGTAGTTGCTCATCAATATTGTACTGTTTTAGAAATCAATATTTAAAAGGTTAGTGACTTTGATTGCTTCAAACAACTGCAGTATTTCATAGGATCTAAAGAGGAGTATTCACCATGTCGAAAGTTGGATCAAAACCAGGAAGATATTCATCTAAATATTGTTGCATGTCGATGGCGGCTGTTTCTTCATTTGTAAGTTGCTGCAACCAGAACGGATATATAAGAGCGACAAATGGTTAAAAAGTTAAAACAAAAAACAGAAAATTATACATGCCTGCTCAGTGAAATGATATTCATTGTAGTTTGAATCAAAAAAATTCGGAAAGTTTTCCCCGTTCACATCCTACAAAGAACACAACGGACTCCATTAATGATCAAGATCGAGATTTGGAAAGTTTAGTTATCAAGATTAGCTAGTTACCTGATTTGGGGTTTCGAGAAAAGCGGGTGGATTTGGATTGTTTGAAGTACTTCCAAACTCGCCATGATGATCAACATATGGTTGTTCGGGAATAAATGTCTCCCAAACAGTCGCTAGTTCGGCTTCATCTAATAATAAATCATCTTCAGCTATTCCAATTTCGAGATTAGTAGTATTCATCTCCATCTCATCATTCCAGCTGCTCAACAGTTCCTTGTTTAAGTTAGAATCAGACAGTGGGCACATTTCAACCAATTTATTTTGACTAGAATAGTTGTTTTCGAAGCCATTAGAAATTTGGATATAAGAGGAACTGCCAGTGTTTGTTGGGCAATTCATCGGTAACTCCATGTAGGAGTTGAGATCATCACCAGATGAGACCATTTCAATATCTTCATATGGGTGTATTACATCAATTGAAGAACCGCCATAATCATATATGTTGCCATGCATAAACCCAGAATTACTAGAATTCACCGAGTTCCCAATACCCAACTCATCATCAATCAAGTATCCTTGTCCATCAAGACTGTCGGGCATTGTCTGTTTCAAGATTGTCGTTTCTTGCATGGAAGAACCTACAAATACTCCAGAAAAGAAGTTTGATGCCAGATGGTCTATTAAAACATACAACCTTACAGTAAAACCAATACCATTTTGACTCTATATATATGTAATACCTTGATTTGGTAATGAAGGTGAATTAGCTAGTTGGGATGGATTTGCAGTGGTGGAACTTGAAGCTTCAAGAATAGGAAAAGAGAAGCTTGAAGTGTCCAAAATCGGAGGATTTATTTCACTATAAGATGGCCAATTTTTTTGTACTGCTGTTGGACGGACTCCATTATTACACGTTGAACTGTCTAACAGAACTGGTTGTGAAGCAATTTGTTCCCAATAATTTGCTTCAGCTATTTTCTTTGACAAGGCCCGATATTTCTAAAGCATACGAAAAACTGTTTGTTACACAAAGTATTTTGAGAGGGGAAACAAAAGCATAACGAAGAGAAGGGCGCGCTGCACACCTGCAAATGACTGGCTACGTGATCTCTAGTTAATCCGTCCACCTTCATCAAATCAATGATTTTTGTTGGAACTGCACCTGGGCGAAGAACAAATAACGCGATAGGATTATGAAATGAAAACTAAACATATCAACAGATGATACAAAACAGTGATTCATTTAGGATCTTACTATCAACTCCAAGCTTTTCAATGGCTTTCAAGAACTTGTTATGCAAATCTGGTGTCCAGATAACTTTACTCTTTTTCGTTATGGCACGACGACTTCTCATGGACTTGCTCTTGGAACGATTCTTCTTCATCAACAACAACTCCTTGTCATCTTCAGAACCCTTTAAGATCTCACCTTCTTCATCATTGGATGACATTGCTTCATTTAGAATTAGAAAGGAACATGTATTAATTACTTTCTTAAGTAGCTTCATCAGTTATTTTGCTATTCACTTGCTAGATTACGAACATGGAGGGAGGATCAAAGTGCAAGAACGCGAGGAATTCCAACATCATGTATGACATGATTACACGTGATAGAAACGATTATATGATTATATGTACATATATATATATATGTATATATCACGAGTAATCATATATGATCTTGGAACTCCATATATTCTTTCAAATTGACCGTCTTTCTCTTTTAAATCTGACCCTACTTACGTATGCACATCAACTATGTATCATATCATTAATCGACAACCTCCAACGACAAAATAAGTATGTCCATCGTTAAGATTTTATGATGATTCGATCTATTGCCGGTAAAATATATCATTTGAAAGTAGAGGCTGGAATGTAAAAATCCATGAGATATGCAGGCAAGAAACTGTGAAAGTTCAGTAATTATATGAATCCAAGTGTAGATTAGTTATTAGGGATTATTGTAGATAACAAGGATAAAAAACAATACAAACATCAAATTAAGTTTTAAAATCGAGAACGTAATTAAAATAACTATTTTGACCGCATGTTTTCACCTCTTGGTCATTTTTCTCCAAAAAATTAAACAAATGTCACTACTTCTGCAATTTTCATCTAGATAAACGACAAAAAAACTGTTACATTTTTCTTACCCACATCTGCAAAATTAAATGTCATGTTACATTTTTTTAGCAACATTTTTTACAGATGGAGTGCTAATTTCATAATTCCTGGAGAAAAATGGCTAAGAGATGAAATCACGTAGTTAAAATGACTATTTTGATTAATTCCTTTTAAAATCACATTCAGTAAATTCAGTCACTCGATCGAAAACCGTCAATCTTTTTAAAGTTATCGTATAATATAATATAACAAAATCCAAATGAAATAATATATGGGAGAGAGAAAATATATTTTAAATATTAGCATGAAAATAATATAGATATGTAGCTTAATGGATGTAACAAATAAATGTGTAGATAAATTAAAAACCAACAACAAATAGAGGATAATGTTTGTTTTATCAAAAGATTTTAAACCCCCAAATATGATACAAAAAGCAAATCACGCAAACAATATTTCAAATCGAATTTTATGGATTCAAACATAACATATAAAAACGATTCATTAAAATAATTTATGTTATATATATATATATATATATGTGTGTGTGTGTGTGTGCGTGCGCAACAATTGTTTAGAAACAGTAGATCAATTCTAGGTTATAAGTAGTTTGAATTTGAACTTGCAGACTACATTACTCTTATTGTCAAAAAAAATTGTCAAAAAAAATTGAATCATAATCGAGCTGGTAAAGATGAAAATGATCAAGATCCTAAAATACGCTTATATTTATTACAAACAGATAAACTTAATTAAGAGAGAGAGAGAGAGATTGATTGATTTACCAAAACCATACTCATCAAGAACAAGTTCTCCATTTATTTTGCTTTAATTTGCGGATGTTTACTAACACCTGTATGTCTGCACGTACGTGCGAACACACACACACATACATACATTCATAGGGCTTGAAAATTCATTCGATAAAAGAGTTGTAAAAGTGTTACCTGTAAATCTTCTTAGGAATGAGAATGTTGAATGTTGTCACAAGATTGCACAAGAAATTCTAGTTAAAAAAGAGAAATCAAATCAAAGTTCTACCATATATAATTTCATATTACGGAATAATATACAGACTGTTACAAAATATAAGAAAAAAAAATAGAATATAAGAATAGATATGTAGACTAAAAGTTACGGTATTTGGAAATTATACATGTATTATTATATATGCTCGGTCTTCTTTGACTTTTCAACGTTACAGAAACGAAACTGATGAACATTAATTACCTCACTTTTTGACTGATAAAAGATTATTTTTATTTTTAATTATATCAATTAAAATATTAATAAATAAAAAGCATTAAAGTGTGTTCAAATCATCAAGTTTAACCAAAATTTTCTAATTATTTAATAACAAAGCTAGAAATATTAAAAATTAATTATATAATAATAAAACCCGTTCATTCATTAAAAATTAACTAATAAATCAATTTTTAGGACCAACTTTTTGGAAAAATCGTAAGTCTTAAAGTCATTATTTGACACATTAAATAATGTCGAAATTTATTTAAAATAAATAATGTCGTAATTAGTGTAAATAAAATAGATTTGGAAACATTAAGCTTACTTTTTGAAGAGTAAACTACGATTTTAGTTCCTCTGGTTTACATCCAACTACGAAGTCTTTGCTAAACTTCCAGAAGTATAATTATCGTCCATATAGTTTGTATTTTTTTTTTGAAAATCATCCCTCAATGGTAACTTTTTTTGTATAACTAGAAACGTACTCGCACAATGTAGCGAGATATATTTCGATTTTAATTTCTCGTTTATTCCGTCTTTGTAGATGTTTTAATTCTATGTGGTTTTAAAAAAATGATAATGTTTTTATTTTTGAATAAAATATAAATTTGAAAATATCATAAAATTTCGAATATATATATATATCTAAAACATTTGACAAAAACTCTTAAAAACGATTTTTTATGCACGAATTACTGTTTATTAATGTATATTACTTAAAATTTAAGATTACAAGTAAATTGTGCATAAGTACAACTTATTAAAGTCTCATATTAAAATTCGTCTAACTAACTGTAGATAAACATAATAAAATATTGGATAAACATATCATATTAAATATAAAAAATCTAAAATATAATTAGGATAATCATTGATAACTAACAGAATACTTAGTTATTATCTTTATAAAAAAATATATTATTG